AAAATATGGGGGTATATATTATCTCCTATGTGTCGTTCAGTCGAATTCGAAATAGATTATATTCATGCGTTACGTTACGCAGCTCGCGGTAGCACGCAAAGAGAACGCTCATTCTCTAAAAAGTCACTTTCCCATTCACGAATTGGCCGACTCGGTCCTTTTCAGCGTTTTGCGGCGGTCACACTAATTGTAAGACAGGGGGGGTAAAGTCCGCAGGGTCGGTCGTCAGCTGTCCTGGAATGGCGCGCGCTACCGCCCCGGGGGACTGCCCGGTTCTCGCGGTATCTTGGCCGCCCGATGCCATCCCCGAACGTCGTGCGCGCTTGTCCGTTTAATTTGTGTCTTAATTATTCCAACCCTCTCGCGGAGCGCTCAACGGTACGATCTCTCATAGGGCATAACTTCTGCGAGTCCACTAAGAGGAACAGAATGTGCGTTCTACTTTTGAAACGTCAACAGCGGAAGTTACTCTCGAAATCTTAACTTGCAAAATCCCGACGTTGAAGGATCTCGACAGCATCGAACGGGCAACAAGTCGGAACTGAATGGACTCGTTAATCGGCAAGGAATGCGTGTGTCTATCAAACATAGAAAAGGGATGAGTTAAAGTGGCGGCGTATGAGATGAATGGAATTTCTTGCGATCTCACGGGGGGAGTAGCGCGCTTATTCCACTCCGACGGGATTATTTACAGGCTTTCCTCTTTGTTTCGCGGAGTAGTTCTCGATCGCCCTTCCTTCCTCTCGAGCTCTCGTGCGCAGCTCTCTTCTCGGCGAGGACGAGTTAAAAAGCGACCGAGTCGGCGGATAAACTTTGCGTAATAGTAGTAATAGGCCATAATTCCTAAGTCGTAAAGTATGAAAAGTATCAACAAATTTGAAAAATCCTCGTCCACCCCGTTAGGCAATTATCATCTTTCGTTAACGCGAACGGCTCGCTCGTTCGCTAAGGACTGTCTCTTACATTGCCTAGGAATTTGACTTTACAACAATCGCGATCGCCCGCGCTTACTCCCATTTAATAGATCCCCTTTCTTGACTAAAGGCGAAGAAATCGATATATAATTCAATTAATAATTGACAGATATAACCAATTAATACGTATAGGATGGTCCTACGGCAAGAAGGCGTAAACTCCTAAGATTCAAACGACATAAACTTTTCTAATTTTAACATCGCCACGGACCATCCAGTACATTGATTGTAGTTACTTCTCGCGGTATACCTCTTTAATCTATGCTTCCCTTCCCTCTTTGTTTTCATATAATAGAAATCGTGTGTGTCTGTATGTATAACTTCTCCTGCCGAATGCGTGTTCGCGATTAGTAAATTTCTCCCTCTCTCTCTCTCTCTTTGTTTCTCACGATGTACTCTTTTACTCGTTCCTCGTTTCTTTCCTTTCTTTCTCTCTTTTCCCTACGCGCATTCGGCATTCGAGAGTACCACTTGCAAGCACGATACTTATATATGTATATGCGTTATTCACCGTTCGCGCGCGCGCACATGCCGCCGTGCGCGCGCCCCCAAGTGAAGATTTCGAAATCTTAAATAGTTAACAGTAACATCGGCGTGAACATTGTACAGAATGATCGAATGATGCACGAGAGGCCGAGATCTCGGACGAAGCTGCGCTCGCGAATACCCGTTTCACATCGACAAGGCGTCGGCGAAATCGCGGTTACCTGTCATCCACACAACGGTAAGAAAAAGTGTTCCGCTATCGTACATGAAGGAAGTCTCGGTGTTCGTTAGCCGAGCAATCGCATTTTCTCCCTTCGAGAGAATTTATATCTTTGATAAACTAAAGGGAAAAGAAAATTCGTCTATATCACGCTAAGACGCTCGTTAAGGCAAAGAACGACATGATTTGGCAAACTGGGAAATTTGATTTCGACTGACAATTTAATTCGGAAGCGCGAGTTTCTAAGATCCCATTCGCGTGGATGACAATCGTGTCAGGCACACTCTCAGGTGCGTTATTTCTTACAAGTCAGCGCCTTGTTTCTCACATCGTCAACGCTCGTTCGTTCTGGAGGGAAAAGTTCGCGATCGCCGGGCTCGGACGCGAGCCGCATAATTTGTCGTCGAATTTGCGAAATCTTACAGCGAAAGGGAGAGAGAGAAAAATGCGGCTCGCGTCCTTCCGGGCAAACGACTCCGTCTTTCCGGGGCGAGGCAGCCGTCGCGAGACGCCGGCCTCTCGTCGAGTGAAGTATGCACAGTAGTGTGGTTCACAGTTACAAAACTAACTAAATCTTACGAGATACGGTGAGCAATAATTCCAGATATGTACAGAAGTTATGTTACAGATATAAAGATATCCCTCCCCCCGGCGATGCGAATGTACACGGTGTGTGTCGGTGCGTGTTCCTGCGTACTTGTGTGTATGGGTGTGTGTGTATGTGTGCACTCGCAGCCGGGGGCTTCTAGCTTCTCAACGTGCGACGATCAGTATCGTTTTACCCGATAATTTCCCCGTCAACGATAACGCAAATCGTCAAGAGTTTCTCTTTCGCGGATCATTTATCCCGACGACGCAGAATAGACGCGGCCCAGTCTGTAATGTGCAGCCTTCGTTTTGAAATTGTCTTAATAATTGATAGGCTACCCTGTTTCGTTATCATTATGAATGGTATCCATTATTCTCCGCTACGCATCACTGCGCACTTCCAGGATACGCTTCTCTCTCGGTCGCACATACGCAAATGGAGGAGGATCGGTCGCACCGCGAATCGCTCCCGATGAAGTACAGACGAGGAGATTTCGCAGAAGAAAAAAATATAGATACACCTCATGTTTCATCAATTCTCCAGAACGAAGCGATTTCAATTTAGAATCGTCTGACACGATTTTTTCAGATTAGTGTTAAATGTGTTTTAATGTTTTTCAGTTCGTTCGTTTGTTGTGTGTGTGTGATGATAATTTGACGTTTATCAAATCATATTCATTACGGCTTCGTTATCGCTTTTCTAGCAAAATTCTGGATTGGTCGAATTCTCTTCCTGTAATAATAATCTTTCGCAAAACTTTTATCTCTTGACATGACATGTTGTCACAGTTGCTAAAACATGATTGGCATATTGCAGTCGCACACACGCGGCAGCAAATTAGAAAAATATTAAAAGACAGACAAGCTTTTAAGAATTCTTTAGATGGATACCACATTTACCTCCGTGCGCTCCTCGGGAACGAGCCACGGGCGCGTCAAAGCGAAAAAGACAGATATGAGAAAAACAAGAACAATAACTTAACCGCATTACAAGTGAGATTGCGCGAGCGGATTTAGTCGCGCGTCTTTTGCCCTTTCTTATTCTCTGATTTCTCTGTCGGAGGGGAGCAGAGGAGGAAAATGCGCGACGAAATCGCGAACACGTCGAAAGAACGTCGCGCCGTTCCTTGTATCATTACGTTTTACACGTACGTATATAATAATCATTTATCGTTATTTACAGGAAGCCGTTCCTATCCCACGAACGAGCTTATTTCAATAGAATTCGCTTTTCTTAGTGCCGTCCAAACTATATATAGGCCCTATGCTCATATTGACAACAGGTGTATAATATATATTTATATATATATATATATTTATATATTTAATATATATATATATATACCTAATGATTTTTCGCTATCTATTTTACAAATGCAAACAACCGCAAAACACACGGTCGAATCCCCCCTCCCCTTTTCACGCGGAACTCTGCGTTACTAACCTGTCCGTCGCACGTGGAACTTGAGGCCGGAGGAGAAGTCGCGAGGTCGCAACGCGCTGCGCGCGATTTTTAATCGCGCGTGCGACGCGTCTGCGACCGCTGCTATCGTCTTTATCCCTTTAGTTCGCAGATGCCGCACGAACAGATCTCTTACAAGCTAATCTTCCTTGCCTATATCTCTTTCCCTACAAATACAAAAAGGCAGCGCACGCACGCGCGCGCACGCGAGCGACACAGTAAAGGTCGTAGTGGCAGCCGAGACGGTTCTTCATTACGATGTGCGTAGGTTTTGCGTCTGACATTCGTCGGCGCGTTTGTGAACGTTGCGTTTGATGGTATTACGGCCGCATAATGTGAACACGCTGAAAGATCTATTTCTTAGACGTTGTTACGTCACAGCGGAGCTACGCTAATGAGCAGAAATGGCGACGAGGATTCGTAGGCATGACGACGAGAGTTTCTCTCTCTCTCTCTCTTTGTCTCTGTCTCGTGTGAAAGCTCCCATGAGAAGATATAAAATTACGTCTGAAACTGCCTTATCTCTTTTCCGCCTTTGTCTTTGTTTCTTTATGTGTTGCCTATGTATTTATTAAATGTGGATTTTCTAAGATGTATTTATTTTGTCTGTTTCTCCGAAAGAAAGAAAGACACTCGAATTTGTCACACACGCATCGCGTTCCAATTGACATGAAAATCGTCAGGTGACGATCGACTTGCGAGAAGGAAATAATAAATGAAACAGGCTTTCTCCGCGCCGCCCTATCGCCGCCGTGTCTCCGCTGATGAGGGAAGAAGTGTCGGACAGAACTGTCACGCTGTAAATGTCAGGCGCAAAGCCAGCTTTAGCCCGCGTCTCTTACGGATTACCAAGAAAGCGGCATCTACCATGAGACACCCTTTTCGAGGCTTCAGCCCCGGAAAGACTTCAGTTCTCTCCCTCTACCTCTCTCGCGCGCGAATAATCACCGCCTTCTCGATTTAATGCCGACGTTCCTGGTACGTTCGACCACCACCGCGACAGCAACAATTCGCGACATGATTCGTACGACGATCTTCGCCCCCCCCCCCCCCCCCC